GGGGGGGGGGGTGCTCGGCTCCCTTCTCTTCACCTGTGTCCCTGGCTTCTCTCCCCATCAGACGAGGGTGGAACAGGTTCCAATTCTTGTTCCAAAATCGGCCTTTGGGTTGTCTCTGTCCTGCCTTTCCCCGCATACGGCCTGCTTTACAGCAGCAGGCACTTCTGTAGCAGGGCAGCTACTGGGAACCTTATGCAAGTGTGTGGCACATCCGGCACTTTGAAGAGGGAGACACAGCCATCGACTCTCAGGGAAGAGCAAGCTCAGCTTGATTGAAGCCTCTGCATTAACAGTGGGAAAGTCTAGAGTTAAGCACACCTGGAGTGTGATACCAGCAGCGAGTAGCTTCGTCTCCCCTGGTCTCTTCTCATCCCTAAAATAGGACTTGTCCCAGAGTTTGGTAAAGATAAGTGGCTTGAGTACATACAGCTGGTGACTCAGTGGCTAGCCCACATAATCCCAGCATGCGGCCCCTCTTCCAACCACCAGTGTGTAAGTGCTGGAGACGGTGAGGAGTTTCCAGAAGCATAAGCTGAGTTGTGCAAAATGGCAGAAGAGTCTGAACATGACGGCAGAGTGGGAAAGTCTCCTGGGATTAGGGTGTGCACAGCGTGGGGTCCTGGGTCCCTTCTGTTAGGCACTATTGTAGGCCTGGGGTTATTGCAGCCAGCGAGACAAGTGTGGATATTCCCTTGTGTAGCTTATGTTCTGGGGGGGCGGGGACAGACAATGAGGAGGTGAACACAGGTGGTCCCTGACTTTGCAATGGTTTGACTTAGGATTTTTTGATTTTACAATGCTGCAAAAGTGATATGCGTAATAAATTGCATGAGATAGTCAACACTTTATTATAAAATGCACTTTGTGTTAGATGGTTTTGCCCATCTGTGGGTAGACTTGTGTTCTGAGCACATTTAAGGTAGGCTGGGCTGAGCTCTGACCTTCAGTAGGTTAGGCATAGTAAATGCATTTTCTACTTAGGGATGTAAGTCAGAGCATCTATACAGAATAGAGCCTGTGGTCTTGATAACTAATTGGAAGAAGATAAAACATGTCTCAGAAAGTGTGGGGCTGGAGGGTGGCTACTTTAGATGGGGTGGTTGAGAGAAGCCTAACTGAGGTACATCCCAAATGGAGCCCACCATGGGACGCTGTGGGAGCAGGACTCTAGGCAGAGGGGAAGAGCCGTGCAAAGGCCCTGATGAGGGAACGAGCTTGGTAGGTTCAATGACAGTTCCCACCAGGCCCACTCAGAAAACTGCCGGACCTACCAGGGACAAGGAGAGACTCCAATGGCACTTGGCTTTCTAAACTGGTAGGAGGCATCAGGTGTAGGGGGAGGCAGTCCCTGAGCCAGGTGAACTTGCATTTGAACCTGGCTCTGCCATGGGGAACCTAAGAGGCCACCTTTCTGAGCTCCAGGGCCTTCATTGTCAAGTAGGGCTTGAGGCTTCAGGAACATAACATAAACAACCGCTGGCTCCCTGCCTGGCATTTCCCTTCCCAGGAGGTGAGGCCACCTGAGAACTCCACCAGGTCCCCAGCCCACGCAAGGGCCTGGAGGCATGACCTGGACCTGGTGGGGGCGGTGGGAGCTGGATGTGGGGTGAGTGTATTTGCAGATGGGCCACTGTACCGAATTCTACCTCCGTGAAAAGTAGAGAGCAACCTTCAGTTGTCAGACAAGGCAGTTGTTCCTCAGGAAGCTCCTTTTTTCAAGGACTTCCTGATCATGTCTCAAAAGCTTTGGTCTAATGTGAGGAGGACCAATGAAAGGGCTCCTTTAGGCTCTGACCTGGGGGGAGGCAGCTCTGCTCACCAGGACACCACCAGCGCACTGGGCCCGGACTTGGGCAGCAGGGCTGGGCCACTCCTGGGGCATTGGAACATGGGGGCTGGGAGGGTCCTCACTTTGCAGAGGAGGCTGAGGCTGGGTGGGGGCGGCTGGCCTTTGTGGGCACAGCTGGTCAGTACTGCACTCCAGGCTCCTCACTGCCGGCCCAGGGCCCCTGGAATAGCAGCAGGGCCCTTCTCTGGAAATACACACAATCGGGTCCCTTTTCTGTTCCGTTAGTGGGGCACAGGCCTTTTTAAAAATGCTCTGGGCCCGGTTTTCCTCTGCACAGTGTTGCTTTGTAAGTCTGTTCTAGACACAAATAGAACAAAGGCCAGGCAGGAGGACTTGGTGCCAGGGATGCGGTAAGGAAGTGGGAGAAGGCTGGCAACTACCACTGTGAGATACTTTAGTGGGAGGTGGGGGCGAGTGAAAACATTTTTATGCCTTGCGAACACTTTCCCATTTCTCCCCATTTATTTATTTTTTTTAATTTGAAAATTCCCAAACATCCAGAAAAGTTGAAAGAAATAACTGAACACACCTGTACGGCTTCGCCCGGGATCCACTGATTTTAACCTTTGGCCACACTGGCTGGCCTCCTCTTTAGGCAAACCCAGTTTTCTTTTGCCGAATGGAATGGAAATAAATTGTACCATATGCCACGTCAGCCCTACATTCTTCACCGTCTAAGAATTGAGACAGTCTCTAATATGTACATTATTACTTTAAAATGGGAAAAAGATTAAAATGGATAACTTTTTTTTTATTGTGAGAGCAATAGAGCGATGTTAGAGGAAGTTTGGAAAGTAATGGAAATAAAGCAAGCCATAATGCCACCACCTTAGCATGTAATGGTTTAGCCTTCCATAAAAATTATTTTCATACTTTCTCAAATTATGAAAAATCTCTTTTCAGAAGTGCTGGTACCTAATTCTGCATTTGTTTTTGGTTTCACATCATCTCTAAGCACGTTTTCCATGCTGTGTAGTCTCCAGCCGTGCTCCTCTCGTTGGTAGCCGAGTGCCAGGGTTGTGGGTGGCCCATTTTGCAGGGTCCCAGGCACCCAGCGGAGGAGCCCAAGGAAACTCACGTCCTTCCCTGGCCCGGCCGGCCCAGCCCAGCCTGGCACCCCCACCCTGCATCTCTCCCTGGAGGGGCGCACTGTTCTGACTCGCCCAGTGGCAGCCCACAGGTCCATGCACACACACTTGGCCAGCTCCATGGCCCCTTGTCAGGGCAGTGGCCCAGGTGGCACCTCTGTGGGAGCTGGGCACTGAGGGATCTGCCCTGGATGAGGCATGAAAGAGCATTTGGGGCCAGCTCGTAGGAGGCCCCAGCGATGTCTGAGTGGGAGGCACACGGATTTGCTGGTGAATCCTGCCCTCCCAGGTAAGGGCACAGGCTGAGGTTGGGGTCCTCACTCAATGCCTACCCCCTGTTCCCTAGGATGCCTTCCGCGCCTTCCACCGTGACCTTGATTTTGTGCGCAAGTTCTTGAAGCCCCTGCTGATCGGTGAGCTGGCCCCGGAGGAGCCCAGCCAGGACCGGGGCAAGAGTGTGAGTCAGACCTACCAAGGAAGGAGGGGAGGGTTTGTGGGGAGATGAGGACCCCACCCTCAGGTGGAGAGTGCTGGGTGTGAGGCAGGGGAGCTTTATGCCATTCCAGGGGGAGCCACCACTCATCACTTGGGATCAGGGAAGATTCAGAGCCTCTGCAGAAGGCCCTACCCCCACCACCCACCCAGTCTTGCTGCCAGCCTGGCTGAGCCCCTACTTCGAGAATTCATTCCCAGCCTCCTCTCTACCTCTGGGACCTCAGTGGACCCAGTCTGGGCAGAGGGTCGTTCCCCCTTGTCCATGTGTCCTCCAGACGTCAACCTCCCCTCCTCCCAGATCTCCATGTCTGCCCCTCCTCTCATCTTTCCTCCCAGGGCTGATGAGAAGGTTGCCTTCACCCCTCCTGGAGCTGAGCTGGGGTCCCACCTGGCCTTCACACGCGGCTTTATCCACAGACCCTTCCAGGCGGCCTCTCTCCCCACCCGGCAGAGTCCCACAGGCTCCCCTTCCTCACCCTGCTTCTCGCTCCCACCATTTCCCCCTTTTACTGCTGCTTCAGTGGGCACCAGAGATACTCTTCAGATGCTTCACCATCACCCAGGCTCCCAGATCTGGCCTCCTCCACGTCCCCATGACCATGTCTGCCTTTCACGGTACCCTGGGCATGTCCCCAAAGAAGATACCTTCAGCCCCTGCTGTCCACTCCCTTCTCCTCCTGCCCTGCCTGCCTCCAGCGATGCCCACATTTCCCCAGAGCCATCCTGGGCTCTGCCTCCATCCCCCCCCGGGCCCTGCCAGTCCTCTCCCGCCTCCCTTGCCCAGCTCTGGGGGGCAGGGAGTTTGTCCTGCACTGTTTTTGTGTCTCCCCCACCTCTACCTCAAGTCTCAATGGGGTACCCAGAACAAGTGTCCGCTAGTGGAAACTGCAAGCTTTTGGGGGGGCGGGTAAAGTAGACATTAAATAACATTTACCTTTTTTTTTTTTTTAATATATCTTTATTGATTTCAGAGAGAGGAAAAGAGAGGGAGAGACAGAGATAGAAACATCAATGGTGAGAGAGTCATTGATCGAGCCCACAACCCAGGCATGTGCCCTGACCGGGAATCGAACCCTGATCGCCTAGGTCCTAGGCCGATGCTCAACTGCTGAGCCGCGCCCGGCCGGGCAACATTTACCATTTTAACCATTTTCAGGGGTACAGTCAGTGGCTTTGAGTCCATTCACACTGTTGTACAACCATCGCCACTATTTATCTCCAGAATTTTTTCGTCTTCCCAAACTCTGAGACTGTCCCCCTTAAACATTAATTTTCATTCTCTCTCCCTCGGTCCATGGCAAACGCTCCTCTCCTTTCTGACTATGCATCTGCCTATTCCAGGCACCTCAGACGGCGGGATCCACTTAGGGTTTGTCCATTTGTGTTTGGCTTGATTGCACTGAGCATAGTGTCTTTAAGGTTCATCCATGTTGTGACACGTGTGAAAATGTCCTTCCTTTTCAAGGCTGAATAGCACTCCGTTGTATGGGCGGACCATTTTGGTTTGCCTTCATCCACCCATCGATGGTTCTGGTCCGAGTTCGCCTTCTGCCCACTGGGGACAGTGCTGTGGACGTGGGTGTGCGGAACCAAGCTATTGAGTCTAACCCTTTCTCTGCCACTTACCTGGACAAATGCACAGGCCCCCAGAGCGGGGCCAGGGCCGGGCGGGCGGTGGCGACCGCAGCAGGTGCCCTGCCTGGCAACTGGGTGGTGGACGCTGTCCCTGTGCCCTTGCCCCGCAGCTGCAGATCACCGAGGACTTCCGGGCCCTGAGGAAGGCGGCCGAGGACCTAAACCTGTTCAAGAGCAATCACCTTTTCTTCCTGCTCCTCCTGGCCCACATCGTCGCCATGGAGAGCGTGGCATGGCTCACCCTCTTGTACTTCGGAAACGGCTGGGTCCCAACCCTCATCGTGGCCTTTGTCCTTGCTACCTCTCAGGTGAGGCACAACGCCCTCACCAGCCACTCAGAGCGCCCGGTCCCCCCAGCTCTCGGAGGCCTGGCGCCTGTGCCGCCGCTGGGAGAGCATCTGTGGCCCTCTGTCCCCAGGCCCAAGCTGGATGGCTGCAACACGATTATGGCCACCTCTCCGTCTACAAGAAATCCACGTGGAACCACATCGTCCACAAGTTCATCATTGGCCACTTAAAGGTATGTGTCAGCAGCCCTGGGTGTCCTCCGTCAGTTAACAGCTGGTGCAGCGCGTCTCCCTTTCCCCCGAGACCAGGTCCCCAGCTGTGCAACTTTCAAATCCCCCACTTCTCCGACCTTCNAACAAGCAGGTTAATTTGACCTCCTTCCCAGGACCCACCATTCACAATCACAGAGACACTCTGTTTCCATATAGCATCCTGCACATTCTTGTTATTAACAGACCAGGACTAAGGAAGGGGTCATCACATTCACATTCTGATTCAGACACTGTAACTGCTGAATATGAGGCCAAAAGTTCACCTCTGACTCAGGATTCTGTGTGTATTAAGGACCAGTTCAAAGGGGGGGAGGGGGGAACAGTTCAAGTGTCATGAAATCTAATCACTGCTTATCTGGGTGTGGGTGTTTTTTTTTTTTTCAGTCCTCACCAGAGGACTTTTTTCCATTGCTTTTCAGAGAGAGTAGAAGGGAGAGAGAGAGGAACATCAATGTGAGAGAGAGACATGTAGATTCAATTGATTATCTCCTGGCCAGGGATTGAGCCTGCAACCGAGGTACATGCCCTTGGCTAGAATCGAACCTGGGACCCTTCAGTTTGCTGGCCACCGCTCTAACCACTGAGCCAAATCAACTAGGGCCAGTATGCTAGTTTTGAAGACAGACACATGCCTCTTTGGTCGGTTGACTCCGTTGATTATACTGTTTGCTCCTTTCTAATACATTCCTTTTCGTTTGGGGCCAGTAGAGAAACAGTTTGTCTTGATGAATTGGAGTAATGTGAGCTGTTTGATACATTGAGGTCCTCCTTTTTTTTCCCCTCCTGGGAAACAAAGCAAGACTTGGAGCAGGGCCATCCTCAGTCTAGCTTTTGTTAAATGTAACCTCCCGTTTCATTGTGCGCCGTTTATCTTCATTTTCATCGCTTTGTTTTGTGAGTCCTTTATCATAAGCCATCTCAGATAATGCTTTGGGGTAAGAAAAGGAGATACTTTCATCATAGAAGTCTTTAGATAAGGGGACATCACACAAGTATAATGAGTGTCTGAGCCAAAGGACCAAAGTTGTTTAAAACCCAGGAGGTAAGACGGGGATCTACTGTCCACCCTACAGACAGGAGGCTGGCCCACGGAAGTGGTAAGTTTGTAAAACCCTAACTGGACTTGCCATTGACCTTGTGCTGATTTGATAGGCGTTATCTCTTTGGTTTGGCAAACAAGGCCTTGCCAGCTCTCTCTCTGAAACAGATCATCCTTCGCCCCAGCCCTTTCCCAACAGCATCCAGCTGCATTCTAAGAAAGGCTGCATCCTGAAGACTTCCACCCTCCCCACCCTGGCTTGGGAAGAGCTACATGTCAGGGTTAACTTATCCCCCTGCAACCCAGACCTTCAAGCCCTTGGCTTGCAGGCTCCAGATCTGGTTGGGGGTGAGCTACCATTGAATTAGTCACCAGTTCTACAGCAAGTGGCTGGGCTGGCGCTGAACCTGAAGCAGTCTGAAAACCTGGTTTTCTTCCAGGATTTCAGAGGGGAGGGGAAAGGGTGCACATAGTAGAGCACTTTGTCTCATTTTATATGCTTTTCTGTTGGATAAAACCCTCCTCAGTATTGGAAAGTAGCATTTCACGCCCAACCCATGCTATCCCCACGCACTCAACAAAGATGGGCTGTGTCCTGTTCCCAGATTCTGGGCAGGAGCTGATGTCCCCAGTCCTTGAAGGGCCCTGGAGCACAGCTCCTGTGTCCAATGGAAGACAAGGTCAGAACAGAGGGTCAGCCTCCATGGAGAACCCTCTCTTATGAAATCGGAATTCTGGAATGATGGGAAGACAGTACTTGAGCTCACAGACTAGAGGAGGTCAGGCCCCCTGCTGGCTGTGTCCTTTGTGTTGTGTCTAGGCCAGTGGCGTGGCTGTGCAGCTCACCCAGGGGTTCCCCAGAGCCGGGGCGATCACAGGTTGCCTGGAATTACTCTTGCACTGGGTGGTCACCCAGCTGCAGACAGTCTCATGAGGTGATCTGTTCCTCCGGTCCCTTTGCTGGGACAAAAAGGGTCTGACTGTAGGGAGCCCTGTCAACTCAGATGTTCTAGTACAAGCAGTGAGGACAGTGAACAGGATGCCGGGAGCCTTGAGGGACTGGGACCTGCTTCTTAGTCTCAGCCTGCGCAGTTGTAGGATTCCATGTGTGAGCTCCCCACGTCCTGACTTCCCTCTTCCTTCGGCCCATGCCACTTCTGGTGGACATTTCTTCCGGAGGATGCTCTTATATAAAGGCAGTCCTAAGCACTCATACCTCTGCTTAAAACCTTTTTGTAGTTCGGCATTGCACTTAGGATAAAATGCAAACAGCAGGGCCTGGCGCCATCTAGACTCTGGAGGTGGAGGCCCGGAACCCGCCAGCCTTTCCACAGTCTCGCCTCGGGCCAGGCCACTGGGCCAGGACTAGGGTGAAGCAAATGAGGCAATTTAAGGGAACACCAAGAAACAATAATCGAGATGATGCTTTAATGCACTACTTTCTTGAAAAAGCAAAATTAATGCAAAAAAAATCCACAATCAACAAAATATCAACTTTTAAAAAAAATTGTTTTGTTTTTAGAGAGAGAGAGGGAGAGAGAGAGAAAAAAACATTGATTTGTTGCTCCACTTACTTATGTGTTCGTTGGTGGATTCTTGTATGTGCCCTGACCGGGGATTGAACCTGCAACTTTGGCGTATCGGGACAATGCTCTAACCTACTGAGCTACCCGACCAGGGCCCAAAATATCAACATTTCAAATAAAGATCAGGACTGTGCTGAGCCATATTGGAACCGGAGGCAAAGGGAAAAGCTCGTGTCTCTGTACACATGTTCGTAAGTGTTCTTTTCTTAATGGTTGATTTCTTTCCCCCCCAGAGCATTATAGTAGTTAACAAATACTTAAAAATTAGAAAGTCAGTGTACTACAAACCCCAACATTAAGTTTAACCATATTATTTATAGCAAAACAATTTGCTGTTTTAATTTCGGTTAATTGAAAATCATTTAAGATCATCACTTGATTGAAATCACACACTTAGCAGTTCTCTCAATTGAAAACGAGATGAGCCAAAAAGTAGATTTGGAAAATGTCATTGACGAGGCAAAACCAAGGTGCACCTTTTCTCTCGGGCTCTGATGTGGCTCAGCCCAGCACCGCTGGCTGCCATCCTGAGCCTCGGGCCCAACCGAGGGGCCCTCCTTTGGCTTCTGGAACAGCCCACAGTCCCCCTCCCTCCCCCAAGGCCCTCACCTAGGCTCTTCCCTCTGTCAGTAAAGCACCCTGGCTCGGGCCTGGACCCGCCTCCCAGCCTGCAGGCCAAGTGCAGGCCTGAGCGGCCTCCCGAAACTTGCCCAGCCCCACGGGCCCTGTCTCAGTGTGGTGTGACACGACTCCCTCGCTGGACAGGGGCTTGCCTCTGTTCCCCACCTCAGCCCTGGGGCAGGCAACGTCGCCACCACATTCTGAGACCACGGGCTGGGTCATTCCGTCCGATCTGAGTGCAGGGATGGTCCCACCTCGTTGGTACCCACAGCCCATCTTGCTTTCTTCCAGTTACTCAACAAAGGTGCTTACTCATAACAGGCCTTGAGTCTTAATTTCTTTGTTCCAGAGATTTTCCGTTTCATTTTTATTAGGAATTTGGTTCCTTTTGGCTAGGAAGTCGAGTGTGTCATCAGATTCCTTAATCCTCTAAGCTCTCACTCCTGACACTTTGTTTTGCTCTGACGGGATTTGAGGCCCGCCCGCGCCTAGGTGCCTGAGGTCACTGCAAAGCCCACAGCTGCTCACGGCTGTTCCCGCCCAGGGTGTGCCAGAACATCTCCCAAGTAAAATGTTTGTTTTAGTTTTTATTCCTTTCCGTAGATGGGCCAGATCCTTGGCCAAAGCATTGATGGATCCAACAGCAGTTTACCCATGAAGTCCTGATGTGAAAGCTCAGAGTCTTGTTTCTTTCTGTGCGTCAGGGGGCCACTGTGTGGCGGGATGTGCCCTCAGAATGTGTTAGGCTCAGCCAGCGAGGCTCAGAGGTTGAGCGTCGACCTAGGACCCAAGAGCTCAAGGTTCGATTCCCAGTCAGGGCACATGCCGGGGTTGTGGGCTCGATCCCCAGTCAGGGGTGTGCAGGAGGCAGCTGATCAACGACTCTCTCATCATTGATGTTTCTATCTCTCCCTCTCCCTTCCTCTCTGAAATCAGTAAAGACATATTAAAAAAAAAAAAGTATTAGGAGCTTCCGCTGGTGGGACACATTTGTGGCCTGGAAAGAAATACTCATGTAATGCTTCTGTCTCCTGGAATCTTAGTTTTATACCTTCATGCTAGACACAGGAAGCTTTTCCCTGTGCGTGTTGGAGATTTAACCAGTCCTCCCTGTAGCCGCTCCGTGCACCGTGACCACTCCTACTGTCCCTGAAACGCCTTCTCGTACAACACGGCACACAGGAGCCGCGCAGAGGAGGGGGCGCGGAGGCTCCCACCTGATGTTGGAGGGGCGCAGAGGCCACCCCTCGCCTGCTGAAGCGCTCGCCCCGTGGGGCGTCACCGGCTGTCCTCGCCCGCCGTCACCGCCTTGCTACTGGGGAAACAGGCCTGGAGGGATGGGGTGACTTGCTCCACTCAGAAGTCCGGGCCGCCAGCGTCCTTGACTCAGGACTGGCAGGGCCGAGTTCCTTCACAGAGACCTTGAGTGTAACAGACGCCGGCCCTGGGTGTTGGAGGAGCTGGCGAGCTCAGGTCCCCCGGCAGACCGCACCCCTCACCCCCCTCTCCCCCGCAGGGTGCCTCTGCCAACTGGTGGAACCACCGCCACTTCCAGCATCACGCCAAGCCCAACATCTTCCAGAAGGATCCAGATGTGAACATGCTGCATGTGTTCGTCCTGGGCGAATGGCAGCCCATTGAGGTAAGAGAAGGGGCCGGTATGGACGCGGGGGGTGTTCGGCCTGCGTGGGGATGGGGAAGAATTCTGGAGAGTGAACAGCCAGCCAGACCTGATGTTTCGACGTTTACATGGACCCCTCTCCTAGACGCCCTGAATTCCTCAAGCTGGGGTTTCTGTGGAATGATTTCACGTGTAAAAAGTGGACAGAGCTCCTTCCAGCGTGTTAGTGTTGGTTAGATGCCTCCCCCGCTCCCCATGCCGGGGAAAGGCATTTCCTGGCTTGTTTTTTCCCGGGGAAGGGGGAACTCTGATCTTGGTTTGCAAGAAGACACAATTCCAGGGCTCAGGCTTGATTCCCCAGAGGCCAGGTCAAGGAAGGCTTTTTGGAAAGTCACAGTCCTCGATGCTGGAAGGCACATGGGCATGGTCCCGTCCACCCACTTCATCAGCGGTGACAGAATGAGGCTCAGCAGGTGGAAGGGTGTGTTCAGGGTCACACAGGTAGTGGTGGGGTGGAGGCCCCAGACCTGACAGCTGGCCATTTTCTTCCACTCTGTCACACGCCTTTATTTTAATATGAGTGCATTTTATAAAGTGGAACAGAAATATACAAAATTGAAAAATGTGTCTCCTGTTCTCTCCGCCATCCCCCCTTTGCCCCAAATGTCATGCCCCTGAGGGTAACCACTGTGACAACATGCCATGTATCTTCTATGTGTGTATAAACACACATAATCTGTTTTTCAAAAGCAAAGATTAAAACTTAGATCCCCTGTTCTGCAGCTTGCCGCCTCACCAAACATGGACCTCCTCCCGAGAGTCCCGGAGCTCTGCTCTGTTTCTACTCCGTAATGTTTCCCACGCTATTTTATAGACAGGAAAATTTGGTGTTGCTCATCCTTCATTTCCTTTTAATAAAAGCACTCCCAATTTATATGAAGAATGTCCTCAATGCATTTTTTAAAAAGGTGGAACCTCTTTGTGACAGCCTGTATTATATTTCAATTTCCAAAAAAAGAAATTCACGTATGCTTTGATTTTTGGAACTCCACTGATGATGTCAAAGATGAGACCGTCCTTGTTGCTTTCATGAAAATCTTAGCATCACAGAGCAGGGCACAGAGTAGAGATTCAGTGAGCATCCGCCAGGTGAGGCACGTGGGCCTCGGTGAGGAGCAGTGCCTTGAATTCCGTCCTGTTCCCAGCAGTGTTGGCATCCAAGGCTTGCAACAGGAGAGGAGAGAGCCTGTTGCCCCAATTCCGGTTTGTACCTCCTCTCTCCCATTTCATGTCCACCTGATAGAATACCTGAGCAGAAAAATGGGGGTTCTGTGACATCATCGATTCAGAGGAAATGAGCCAAAACTTGGTACTTTGGAAGCGTGGGGCCTCTGTGCCAAAGTACATGCTTGAGGGTTTTTTCTAGGAAAGCCTGCTGGCTTTGATTAGAGGTATCTAGATGGCGGACCTGATTAACTCGGGGCCTCCTGGTAAGCGAAGACAAAGGCTGCCCTTGCCGAGTGAGGCTTCATGTTGTACAGCTGTTGGCTGTGTCCTGACAGATATGCTCTCTGTCCCTAACAAGATCTAGTGTCACCAACGACGCTGGCAGGGAGGCGTCTTTCCTGTCTGCCTGGTGGCCAGTGAAACGTCTTCCAACGTCTCCTCTCTCTAGACACTTCTCCAAGGCTGGCTTTTGGGCAGGGGCTGGGCGGGAGGTTTTGGGGGTCTGGTAATCAGTTGCCGGTAGCATTTGAAAAACTATGGCCAGGGCCACAGTGCTCCAGTCAATCCTCTCTTTTGGGGGGAAAGGGCACCTCTTTCTGGGTTCCTGGCTGAGCTGTGCCCTGGTGTCCACAGAACCATACTGCCCTGGAAGGGACTCTGGTGACAATGAGTCTGATGGCATCTGTCCCATGCAGGCCACCCCCCACACCAGGGCCAGGGCTCTTACGCCCACATGCCATGAACAAGGCAGCCCAGCCAGCGCTCCAGAGGCCGCCCAGCACGCAGTGAGGCGAGGCGTCGCCTAGTGGGTGTCTGCCTTTCCATCTTACTTATGGCTTCCCCCAACTTGTTTTATTCGTTCTGTGTAGCAAAATGTGTTCATTCCCCCAGCCCCTAGAGTCCTTCATTTATTTTATGCTTAAACTGTTCTTCATACATAGTCTTTTCAGTGTTTTGTAGTTTCGCTTTTGAATGTTTCACTTTTGCCCGACGGGACTGGGCTAAGTCAATGTTCTGCCCTCACGTTTCTCCGGAGCCGCCTAGTTGCTTTTCAGGTGACGCTTTTGAGTTTCCTGGGTGGACAATCATATCCCCGGAAATAATGAAATATTAGTCTCTTTCCTTCTCCTAGCGCCACACCCTTTTGTCTGGTTTGGGTTTACGACCTCCCTGGAGCTTCCAGAACAGGATGAAATGGCAGCGATGCCGGTGGCTCGGGCAGCCCGACTTTGCTCACCCTTGTTTTTGGCCACGTCATCGAGGCCACGTCCCCAGGGCGCTGTGAGGTTTCCGCCGCCCTGCCCAAGATCCTGCTTTCCCACCCGTCGGTCGGAGCGCTCTCCCGCCCCCCACCTGCCCGTCGCTGACCCCTGGGCTTCCCGGTCAGGTGGCCGTCCCTGAGCAGCCGAGTGGCCCTCCCGGGCCCGTGGACTGAGGTCCAGGGTGGTGCTGCTCTGCGCATGCCTGGTGCGGCCCTGCTGCTCCTTCCCTCTGTGAGTTTGCAGGTTCCCAGAGGCTGGGGCTAGACTTTGCGACCGCTCCCCTCCCCCACCCTGAACGGACAAGGAAGGCCCTTGTCCTTACTCAGACATTTTGTTCCAAAGCTGAAAAGTCCCCTGAACATGCTCCTGGCATCCAAGCCCGTAATCCAAGCCTGGCCTTGTGGTCCGTGGAGGGGCTGAGCGCAGGAGGGCCAGCCGGCCAGGGCAAAGGGTTGTGGGACTCCAGGAAGCCAGGCCACCCGGCTGGCAGTGCTCCCCCTCCCCGTGCCCCTGGCCTGGGTCCCCAATCAGTCTAAGTTTGGGAATGCATCAAAGAGAGCCCTGTGAGCCACCATCTCCTTCTTGGGGTCTGGACACAATAAGCCACCCATACCCCGCCTGGGTGAAAGCACCTTCTGTCCTCCCTGCGTCTCCCCTCTGACGGCCCCACCACCCCCAGCTCTCTCCCTGTGTGTGGTGAGGGCTCTCCTGGAGGAGAGGAGGTGTGGGGGTCCCACTGGGGAGGACGGCAGACTCTTAGCGAGTAAGTCCAGGGCCCAGCACTGTGCTGAGCGCTGCACGCAGGTCTTCACTTAATCCTTGCTTAACCATGAAGCAGGAGCTCTCAACAAACCCATTTTATAGGTGGAACAACTAAGACGAAGAGAGATGAAATAACGTGCTCAAGGTTACAGCTAGAAAAAGCAGGGCCACCATCCAAACCCAGCCCATCTTGCTCTAAGCCAGGGCGTCTGGGTCCCATGGGACCTTGCCCAGGGCCACCACCTGGCGGGCGTTAAGGGAAATGCGTTTGTGGATCACTCCTGCTTCCTGATGAAAGAAGAAGCCATGAGTCCCCCTCCTAGCTTTGTACATTCTAAAATACCTCTCCCTTCCCTTCCCTGCGCCCATGACTTACAAGGCTGGGTTTTGGCAAAGAACTGAGTATGTGAAGAAAAGAGCCAGAAAGTCAGCCCCACACCATGACCTCTTGGTGCACTGGATGACTCTCAACCGAGCCACGCCGGCCAGGGCTCATTGTCTTTTCTTAACATTGATATGGGTGCCAAATGGAGCTCAGAGGGCTGAGTGACCTGTGCAGGGTCTCGCCCTGGCCCAGACTCCCCTCACAGACCCCAGCATGGCAAGCAAGCAGCATCTCTTGGTCTCAGCCTCTAAGGAGCAGGGCAGGCTGGTCCCAGGGGGCTAAGCTTTAGAATTAAAGGGCTATAGGGACCCTGTGGAGCCATGGCTCTCCCACTGGCTCATGCTCAGAGTGACCTGAGCAGCTTTGTACAGTGAGGATGCCCAGGCCCCAGCCCAGCCCTCCTCCCTCGGAGTATCAGGGCAGCAGGCTGCCCAGGGGTGCAGGCTCCACCGGGGAGGGAACTGGAGCCCTGGGAGGAGTGATCAGCTTTGGAAACTGCAGGAGGCTCCAAGGTAGATGCTCCCAGCCCCACGGTGACTATTCAGAACTCGCCAGGCCCTTACCTGGGCTCTTGCAGCTCCTTCGGCTCTGGGGAACTCCCCGGGATCACCCAAAGGGATGGAGACTAGCCCAGGTACTCCCTCTGGGGGCCTGTGCCCCTGTGTGAGTTGTTCGGTTGTGCATTCACCAACAATTTAGTGACTGTCATCTGGGCTCTGAGTCTGCTTTCTTAAGTGCAGATCCCTGCTGGGCCCATTCTCATGTGGTCTTGGGCAGGGACTTGACCCTGCTCCTTAGCTTGAGAAGTGGCTCATGGGCTCAGGTGGAGCATGAGCTGAGGCCTGCATGCAGCGCAGGGACTTCGGGGACGCACACTGAGCCAGGGCAGAGGAAATGCTGGCTGCTGTTACCCTGCGGAGCCAGGAGCCTAGAGGGCCAGAGGGGCCCAGGCTTGGGGACAGGCACGGGAGGCTGGGCCCAGAAGGGTTCCAGGTGCTAGACACTCACAGTTTCTGCTCTGTCCTCAGTATGGCAAGAAGAAGCTGAAATATCTGCCCTACAACCACCAGCACGAGTACTTCTTCCTGAGTGAGTGCGGGCGCCCACAGCCTCTCCCGGACCCCGTCTGTTCCTCTCCCACTGACACCCTTTCCAGACTCGGAAAGTGACACTAAACCTGTTAGGAAAAGCAGGGCCATAGCAGCCACCCCGTGCAGATCCTTGCTGGCCATTCATGCAGCTGGGACACAGAGGCCGGGAGAGGCAAGCACTTGCTCCGTGATCCCTGGGTGGGGGTGGGGTAGAGGTGTTGTCTGCTCCTAGCCACCCCCGTGGGCACCAGGGCCCCCACCCTGGCTCCTCCTGCTCTTCTAGCCCAGACCAGGGACACCTAAGCACCTCTGCTCCACTCTCCCCTGCAGTTGGGCCACCGCTGCTCATCCCCATGTACTTCCAGTACCAGATCATCATGACCATGATCGTCCGCAAAGACTGGGTGGTGAGTCAAGGGGCACAGCTGGCCTGGGAGTATGGGGAGGGGGAGTCTGGGTGGTGGACCCCAGAGATCTGTGCCCTCCTGCACCCCTGTGGGGCCCCAGGCATTTCCTCTTGGGGTGGCTGCCTTATCACTCTCAGGGTGGGACCTGCTCTGAGGCTGCCAGGAGCTGGCAGGCCATTGTACCCCACTCCTAAAGGTCCACCCTCACAGGGGGCCCACTGGGGAGCCACTACCTTTGCAGAGCCCCCTCAGAAAGTTCCTGAAGGCAGTGTGATCAGAGCCAAAGGTGGCCACCCACCCGCGGCTCTGCTCCAGCCCTTGCCTTCGTCACACGGCACTGGGCTGGTCAATAGAGGGCAGCCCGGCGGCGGCTGAGACGACAGGTGTATTAGTTTGCTAAAGCTGGGTATTAAAGTACACAGACTGAGCGGCCGTCCTGTTAACAGAATCACGTTGTCTCACGGTTCGGGGGCTGGAAGCCCAGGGCGGAGGCATGGCTGGGGTTGGTCCTTGTGAGGCTGTGAGAAAGCCTCTGGTCGGCCTCTCTCCTTGGCTTGTGGATGGCTGCCACCTTCTCACGTGTCTTCCCATCGTCTTCCCTGCGCGGGTGTCTCCATCTGTGTCCAAATTTCCCCTTTTTATAAGGACAACGGCTCTCCTAATAACCTCATCTTAACTAATCACATCTGTAGCAACCCTGTCTCCAAATAAGATCTAGTTGTGAGGTCCTAGGGATTAGGTCTCCAACGCAGGCATTTTAGGGGACACTGTGCAGCCCATGACCCCAGAGTGAAGGGAGTCTCTGGATTCTGCCCCAGAGAGAGAAGGGGACCCTGGAGAGGGACTGACCATGCTGTGCACGCATCGGTCCTTGACTTTGTGTAGACTTGTAGACGTGATTCTGCCAGAGGATAAGGTGCTCGCGATGGCATGGCCTGGATGGAGTGGTCAGCACAGGCAGAGCGGGTTTCCGTGGAACAGGGACAGGGCACTGCTCTCCACAGAGTCACTTGCTAGGTATCGCTGGTCTCTTACTTTTTTTAAAACTCAGTTTCATAAATGAAGATATTGAGACTGAGAGTTTGGGACTCAGCCAAGGGGACACCAAGGGGTGGGTGGGGCTGTAGAACCCAGGCCTCCCAATGCATATCCAAGACCCTCCCCCCATACTTCAGCCACCAATCTCTCTGAAATAACAGTACCCTGTGTATGTGTAGCATCAAAGCACCTTGTCTTACATCTTCTCACTGCAAGTACAGGCAAAGGGGCCACCCACGGTTGCTGATTCTGCTGCGAGAGCCAGGACTGGGCTCAGGAGCAGGCGGGGTGGTTGGGGCAGAGGTGAGACTCTGGAAATCTCTGCCAGCCCTGTGCTGGTAGAACCTGCACAACTCACTTCCAAGATATGTTATATTCCCAAAAGGGAGCATTTCATCGGTACCTTCGGAGTTCTAGGAATAGTTAGGCTCTGCCACCTGCAGTGTATCATTTAACCCTGTTGACCAACAAGGCAGGAATGGGCTGGAGGAATGGAATTTCCAGATCAGTTAAGTGATGGGAATTTGAACCCAGATCTGCTCCTACAGTGACCGCTGTTTGCACCAGGCTCATCTGGGCCCTGGAGAGAGTCTTGGCTGAAAAGGAATGTGAGCCCTGCTGTGCTGGGTCAGGTGATGCTGCTGGGGGTATTTTAATCTGCTTTCATGACAGATGACTCCTGACATGAATATTTAATCTTTTTTTATTTGTTTTAAATTTTTTTTTTAACTGTTTGTTCCCTAAGGAACAAAGCAATTAAGTAGGGACAGCAGGAAAGGAAATCAGACTATATACCTGAACAGGATCAGATGGCAGAGCCAGGGAAATCTGATAGGGCCCCCTGGCCTTTCCAGGCCTGCCCTGGCCCCTGCCAGGAAATAGCGTTCAGGCTGGGCCAAAAGGCTGGGCCTCCTGACTGCTCCCAGACTTGGTGTTGCAGATTCATGGTGGATTTGACTAGGGACCCAGGGGCCCATGACCACGTGTGTAGAACTTGGCCTCGGGAATATATAACAGAATCTGTATGTAAACACAGCTCCTGCCGCTCGCCTCCCCCAGCACATACCCTCTGCAGTCTCCCCTGTCTGGGCTTTTCTTTCTCTTTGTATCCTTGCCTCTTCTGCAAATATCCTTCCTACTGTTCTTTGCTTGGCTGACCTCTGGTGTATCCCAGCCCAGCTCAGGACTTTCCTAAATCCCAGGGTAGTGTCAGGGCCCCACACCATGTCTTCATCCACCCACCCCCGTGACTACCTGTCCCCTCCCATGTGATATGGAAGGAATCTCTATAAGCCTGTCCTTGGAGGCTCTGGCTTCTGAATGACCTTTTGCTCCCAGCACCTAACATAGCCTCTGACACAGAGAAGGCATTTGCTAAATGTTTGTGGAGCTTAACTGAACAGAGCTGATTGAAGGATGAGTTTGCCAAGCAGATAAGGGAAGGAGTTGCCTCCCTGCAAATACAGCCCAGACACAGCATGTCCTGGCCAGTGCACGTAGGTCAGGAGATGGGCTGCAGACGAGACAAGGTCAGGGGCAGGTGTGTGAAGGGCTGGTGTGTCCTACCCAGGGGCTGGATTTTATCCTTTGTCCCCCGGCAGGGAATGAGGCCAGCAGTGGCTCCAAGGATGGAGGGGGCCTGATCCAATCTGCATGTTAGGAAGATCTCTATGGTGGCAAAGTGGTGCAGGGGGCTGACTGGAGTCATGAGAGCTCATACTGCAGGCTACACTTATTACAGCACACATTCGAGCCATGTAGAGCCTCGGTGGGAGGTTTTCTCCCCGTCCTACAGATGGGGGAACTGAGGCACAGCGAAGTAAACCACTGACAGCTACGCAAAGCCAGTGGTAGAGCTGGGTTAGCACGGGCGGCCTGACCCCGAGCCTGTGCTCTGATCACTACCCTCTAAGGCTCTGGGAAGGAGAAGTGATGGGGATCCAGCTACTGCATGAGCATTCCTGGCAGAGGACGCAGTGCAAAGGCCCTGAGGTTGCTGAGAAGAGAGGGGCTACTCTGGGTAGGGTGGAGGCCTAGCAGGGGATTTGCTTGGTGTTAGGATGGCCATTCTGTTTGCCATGGGTGCATGAGGGAGAGCCAGAGACCTGTGGGAGGCTCCTGATGTGGTCCAGCTGAGGCACATGGACTCGGGGGTGGCACACAGAAAGCACACTGCATACCTGCAAGGGCCCCGAGGCAGGGGGTGGATGGTCTCTGGCCTTTGCCCCCACACACACACACTGTTGTGCTGGATGAGTGTGGAGGAAGGTGCTATTTTTGAGCCTGCTGGGGGGGGAGGTGACATGGAGAGGGGAGGTGCACAGTCAGAATCCCCGGGACCACGAAAGGGCTGTTGTGGATGCCCCTCAGCTCATGTCCCCTGGTGCCATCTCTGTTTCTTTCCCTGAAGGCAGAGCACACAGCTCCCTTCCTGCTGCTGAAACGCTCAGCATTTCCCCGGAAACAAAGATGACCTCTCAGGGCCCCACGAGCAGGCACCTGCCGCCCAGCTTCCGAGGCGCCCGTGGGAGTGTCTCGGACACTTTGCCTGGCGGGCACGTGCACTCAGCTGTGGTGGGGCCACAGGCCCAGGGAGGATGGGCCCTCCCGGTCTAGCCGTGTTTCTCTCGGCAGGACCTGGCCTGGGCCATCAGCTACTACGCCCGTTTCTTCCTCACCTACACTCCGTTCTACGGCGTCCTCGGAGCCACCCTCTTCCTCAACTTCATCAGGTGCCTGAGCTTTGCCGGTCAATCCCTGGGTCCCCAGCACTGGCAGTGACAGGAGCTTTGACTAGAGGGACCCAAGAGGAAAGGCTCTGAGGTCCCCACTTCCTGCCCTGGGCCTCACATCCTGGCACCTCAGCTCACCCCCTGCACCTGCCTGGGCCGCTTGGGGTTGGAGGGAGGAGCTGTCCCCCCTGTGGCAGGGCCCCGCACCGAGCGGCACTCTCTCCCAGGTTCCTGGAGAGCCACTGGTTTGTATGGGTCACGCAGATGAATCACATCGTCATGGAGATTGACCGAGAGCCCTACCGGGACTGGTTCAGCAGCCAGGTGAGGTCACCAGGGCCCTTCGTCCATGTCTGTGGCTCCCCAGTGGACTCAGAGCTGTGCTGGGCTTCCCTGGGGCTGTCTGTCCTTCCCCTGCTCTGCACAGGGCTAGGCAGGAAAGGGTGGCAGGGCTCTTTGGGAGGGACCAGTGGGGAATCTGGGTGGACTGAGGACTCCAGGCAGAGCAGTATGACATGGAGGGGTGGCCCTGAGACCTTGGGTAAGTCCGGGCCTTATGGGAAGGAGACGAGGCCCTTTGTTCTTCACTCCTGCCACCACCCCCCACTCCTACCCCGTACAGCTGGCAGCCACCTGCAACGTGGAGCAGTCCTTCTTCAATGACTGGTTCAGCGGTCACCTCAACTTCCAGATTGAGCACCAGTGAGTGCAGGCGTGGGTGGGGCCGGGGGCAGGCAGGCCACACACAGTGGGAGGGAAAGCGGCCACCAGCCCCATCTAGGCAGAGGACAGCATTTGGGGGGCTCCCTCTCCCCCCCGTGGTGAGGTTCCCCCACCAACCAGCCCTAGAGCATGCTCTATAGCCAGCCCAACTGAGGCCAGAGCACGGGCTCCCTGTGCCACGTGGTCATCGTCACAGCCACCTCACTTGTGGGCATAGCTCTGCAGTCACCGAGAGCTTACACCAGCATCTCCCTTGATCCCGTGAGCCTGGCAGGGCAGGGCAATTGATCCCACTGTATTTACTGGGAAACTGAGGCTAGGTTAGGTAGCTTATCTGGAACTGAGATGATGAGGGGCTCCCCCAAACCCCTACCACCCCTGCTGTCCCTCATCCTCTCCTCTCCACAGTCACTGTACCTTTTCCCCCTCACCCCCTCTAGTTCATTTATTTCCTCTTTAGAAAATCATGGTGTTGTCTCCAGCCATCAAATTTCCTTCCAGTCCCCAGAGCACAAACACAGCCATCCACGAACAACCCCCCACCTGGGTGGGCACATAGGGAGAGCTGTAAACGAGGCCTCCCTGGGCCCTGCCAGCCTCTGGGCCGAGGGGAGGCAGCACCCTCACGCTGCCCCTCGCTCCCCGCAGCCTGTTCCCTACCATGCCCCGGCACAACTTCCACAAGATCGCCCCGCTGGTGAAGTCTCTGTGCGCCAAGCATGGCATCCAGTACCAGGAGAAGCCGCTGCTTAGGGCCTTGCAGGACATCGTCCGGTAAGGGGCCCACGGGTGCCGGGGCTCGGGGCTCGGACCGGAGGCACTAGCCGGGACCACCCATGGTGGAGACCGGGCAACCCCAGAGGGGCGGAGCCGGCTGGCATGGGTGCCCACCAGGCCTCCTCCTTTACTAGGAATTGCAGGGCTTCTCTCTCTGGGCTGGATGAGGGCCTTCCCTTTGTGCCTCCACGAGGGGTCCCCTGGGGAGCCCTGAGCTGGCAGCCCCTGGTGAGGGCTGAGGGGAAGCACGTGCATCCCCAGCGTGGCCTCCCCAGCCCCTCTCCTAGCCCCTGACTGTCCCCTCCCCTTTTTCCTCCCAGGTCCCTGAAGAAGTCTGGGGAGCTATGGCTGGATGCCTACCTCCACAAATGAAGCTGCAGCCCTCGGGGGCCCATAGGGACGGGGGAGCAAGTTGGGATGGATGACAGCCAGAGGGAGGGGTGGGTTTTTGTTCTGAGAGGTGTCCATGAGGCTGGGGTACATGCCAGCTCACAGACCCCATTTTTGGTCTTGCTCCTGTTTTCCTCTCCATGTTCCCTTTACTTCTACTTCGCTCTCAGTCAGTCCCCCTGGGAGCAGAGAGAGAGGAGGCTGCAGACCTGCCTCCACCCTCTGTCCCTGCACATCTGCCAGACGTCTGTCCACAGACACACCTGCCCCCTGCAGCCTGGCCTTCGGGCTTCACACTCCTGCCACCCTCCCTCAGCTACTCTTGGGGTGTGTGGGCTGGGTCCAGTCAGGCGGCGAGATGGCCCCCTGACCCCCTGACCCTGCAGGCCAGCTCCACGCTCTGACAGCACCCACAGTCTGCCCTTTTGTAGGGAGATGCCTAGTGATTCTAGGCTGCGGCCTGCTCAGGCCTTGGGCCCAGGAAAATGTCCTCGCCCCACTGGAGCCCTCTGGCCAGGGCTTGAGCACTTTGTCCCACCACCTTCCACCCTCCTCCCACCTCCAGAGCCTGGGACCTGGGGTCCAAGGAGGCAGACCCGCAGGTGGCTCTGCAGAGGTTGGGGGCCCGGTCAGGGGGCCTAGTCACTCAGTCCCATCCCCCACCCCGTTCAGATGTTTGTCCTAGTTGGTAGGCCTCAGATTCTGTAGCACTCAGACAGACCCTTCTCCAAAGTGCTGTGACCCGCCAGGCAGCCGCACTGGGGCTGCCGGGTGGACAGGCTCTCACTGTCTTCCACTCTGTCGTGTCTACTGGTTTTTTAACCTTTTGCCACAGGATACATTCTGCCAGAGTGGCATTGGGGCTTGGTGTTGTGACAATCTGCTTCTTACCACCTGCCCCTCAACGCCAGTGGGCTGAGCGCGGCTCACTCACTGAGGCCATGGTGGCCCCCACTGTCACTGTCAGGGCCACCACTGTTGGGAGGGCAGTGGGGCAGAGAAGGAGGGAGCCCCAGGGGAGGTGACTGTGAGGAGCTGGGTGGTTGGGGGCACCTAACAAGCGAGGGCAACGTGAGAAGTGCGACCAGGAAGAGTTTGGGGCTGGAAGCCTGAGCCGAGGGGACAGGAGAGTGAGGAGTAGGAGCTGAGCCCGCCACCCTGGGGGCGTCCAGAGCTGCTGCATTTGGAAACCTAACCCACTAACCAGTACTTAGCTTTGGGGCAGGAACAAATTCAGAGTGGGCCTTGGGGAGGGCATCTCAGCCCCCAGTGCTGGACATCCCAGAGGGACTGGTATCTAGTATGACAGGCCTTCGAGCTGCCTTGGCCCTGCCTGAGGCCCTGCTGCAGAAATTACAGAGGCCCAAGGAGCTGCTGTCCCTCCCTAGGCCAATGGATCCATAGGGAACTGATCTTAATTTTTATCATGTTGCTCCCCCAGCCCTACATTTTTTGGAAATAAAAGAGGTAATTTTATTCTCACTTCCCTGCTGAGCAGACTGCCTTGTGCTCCTGCCTGCTAATGCTTGGGGGGGGGGGGCAGCAGGAGCCAGGACTGGGTGCAGGGAGGAGGCCAGCTGGCACTGGCAGCCCTTCTCCTCTGTCCCCTCCTCCCCTCTGGCCTCCCTACCCCTGCTGCCTCTACTCATGAACTTCCTCTTCCCCTCTCTGAAATGCTCTCCAGGCCAGGAGCTTTGGGCAAATGATCCAAATAAATTGACCCTCCTTCCTCCTAGGGATTCTTAGCAGTTCGGCAAACCCAACTCCAAACACCCTGGAGCCGGGTGAGGCCTCCCGGAAGATCGTTGTGGGCAGCAAGAACGGGCTGTCACAGGCCACCTTCCTGACATTCCCATCTCTGTCTTCATCCCTAGACCAGCTGTGTGCCCACAGCCTGGTGTCAGCTGGCTTCTGCCACCTCCCTTTTGCCCACTTCCTGGTCAGTATACAGCCCTGGGGGCAAAAAGAATGTCAGAAGCTCTGAGGAAACCCCTGGAGACTGAGGCTTCCATATGTGGCCTGTGCCCCTGCAGTGGCTCATTTGGTCCCCACACCCTGGGCCAAAGGAAGCATGTGCCATGCCAGCCTAGCATCACTAACCAGCTCATAGGTAATGTCATGGAGACTGGGTCCAAGGGGGCAGTCCTGCAGGTGGGCTCGACCCCCGAGCCTGCAAAGAGTCCAAGGGAATGTACCAGGGACACTTGTACAGTTGGGCCCCCGCTGGCAATGCTGCTCCATGACCAACTACTTCTGACCTGGCTCAGTGGTAAGCCGGAGAAGGGCCAAGAGGGTCAGGCTAGTCTACCTCAGGGGCTCCCCACCTGGCCTTGCAACACCACCCACTCCACAATAGACTGTCTTCGTCCCCATCTTGTTTGACCTCAGGGTAGCCAGCCAGCAGGGACTCAAGTAGGACCGAGGAGCAGAAGCCTGAGCCCGGGGCAGAGACCCACCCCTGGCTCACTGAATGGCTTTGGGCAAGTCTTTTGCCCTCCCTGACCCTCCAGGCCTCAGTCTTTCCATCTGTCCAGTGAAGGAACTGGGTACAGGCTCCAAGGATGTTGTTATCTCAACACCTGTGAACCCTTGGCCTTGGCGTTGCCCTCCTTTAGACCCATTAGAGGCCTTCAAGCCCAGGATCCAGGGAGAGCTGACAAAGCTAGGTAGACACTGTGGCTATGAGTACACCAGGTAAATCTTGGCTCAGGTCAACAGGCACTTGGATCTTCCCTGTGACTTCTTCCTTCCAACCTTGCCCTGAAGTATTGCCCTTGGGTCAGAAAGCTGACACCCATACCTGCTATCTAACCGCCCCTCCTGTCCCCATACTTCACTGAGGCTCTTGCTCAACACACAAATCATGGGTTTCTGATCCCCACCCCGTCAGAGTTGTGACACAACGCACAAGGCCCTGAGTGATCACAAGATCTGAAGCTTCAATTCATAGGAGGCCAAGACCAGAGGGCAAAGGACTGGCCTGAGGCCACTCTGACAGCAGCTGGGTCAGGGCAAGTGCGTGGGATCCTGACTCCTCACCCAGCGCTCCCAGCGCTTTACCTGACCATCTCCTTCACTTGCTACAGGGGAAGGGTTGTTTCTCAGACTAAGACTTACCCCTCACCCCCTCTTGTCAAATGTCAGATCTCCCAGGAGGCCCAGTGGCTGGCCTGAGTGGGTGGAGACTGGAGCCCACCCACAGGGAGCTAAGGTGGCTACCTCGAAAAAAGGGAATCTGTTGGGGACTTGGGCATGTGCAGGGTGCCAGGCCCAGAGGAGGGGCTGGCAGAGCAGCCTGAGCTGTGTGTGGACCTGGAACCCCAGAGGCAGCCAGTGGCCTGGCAAGTTCCTCAGGTGTCAGCAGGACACTTAACACCCTGGACTCAGGAAAGAGGAGGCTTTTGGTGAGAAGGAGCAGGACAGAGGTGGCAGCCACCTGGGCTGGGCTCGGACTGGCCACTGCTCAGGTGACACAGAGCCTTGGACCAATCGAGATTCCTCAGCTGTCCCAGGTGCAACTTCCCTGGAGACGCCCACCCCTCTGGACTGGACACTGCTTCTGCAAGAGCCCCTGGTCCCACGCCTGGGATGGAAATGATAAGCTGTGGGTCCCAGGGACCCTACAGCCATCTGTATGGGGGCCTGGAGGGGAAAGCACCCCAGTCAGGAACTCCAGCGCTGTTTGGGCTGGGCGTTGTTTCTAACCAGACTGGCCATGCGTAAGCAGAACCATCGGCCACCCAGCATGTGGGGATTTAAAGGTCATGTCCCTACTGCCCTCCACCATTATGAATGCTGCTTTTCATTTGGAAGGCATTTAGGTCTTTCTTCCAAATCTTCTGGTTCAGGAGCAAGTGTCCTAGAGAATTAGTGACAGGCACCAGGAGCCTGGGAGAGGCCAAGTTGACCAGGCAGCCAAGTGCTCCTGGGCATGTGTGGGGGAGGAGTGTGGGAAGACCAGTGAAAGAGCCACAGCCTGTCTTGTGCCAAAGAAGTTTGTCACCCCTACCAGCCCCTCCAGACATAACAGGCAGGGCCTGGTTCTGTGGCCCTCCTTTGCCACCACCTGCCCTGGTCAGCCCACAGGTGACTCAGTAGTCACGGCTTCTCTCAGTAGTTCCACGTTTCTTCAGGGCCCAAGGCTCTGTACAGACCATAAAGCAGGGAGAGGGGGATTCTTAGAGGCCCCACCCAGGACCCTCACTCCTCCCTTTTACAAATCCTGCACATGCTCCCTAAGTTCCTGCTCTGTGACTGCCTAAGGAACTTACAGATGGAGAAGGGAGAGCTCTGCTCAGAAGGGTGGTGACCTGTCCCCAGGGGATCCAACATGGGGGGAGCCGAGAGGGACAAGGGCAAAGATGACCGGCCCAGAGAATTCCAACCAATAAGGAGAGGTTGGGGTGGCTGCTTGAGGCCAGGGTGGCCTTAAGGGTCCCTTAAGTTACTAGGCAACTACCAATTTGCAGATGAGGGTGCACTCCCCATGGCCACCACCAGGGGCAGCACGGAGTACGGCCTGCCCCACAATGGTGAAGATACTACCGGCGCCCCTTGGGGGGCGCTGCAGGCCCAGCGTTCGGGCTGAGTGGGGACGTGCTGCCCTAGAGTCCCAGGCGTTAGTATCCTCCCCATAAGGGCATCAAAGCTTCTGCAGGAAATGTACTGACCATCTGCCCAGGCAGGGGATAGAGGGAATGCCATCCAAGGGCCCACATGGCACCAGGAGTCAGCAGGGTTTCCACAGGTGGCCACAGGAAGGGGGGACTCCTGGCAGAGGGAATAGCCTATGCAGGGGCCCTGAGTGGGCCCTGCCCTAGACATGAGGAATTTGCCTTAAAGGCAGAAATACCTTTCAAGGAGTAAACAGGCTCAGAGAAAACCTAGGATTTTTCCCAAGTCAGAGCAGGTGCCTTGAATTGCGTGCATAAAATTTGTAAATAAGTCTCTGGGCTCTGTTGCTGGGCCCTATGCCAAGATCCTTCCACAACATCCCTTTTGTCTTCCATCACCCTAGGAGGTCATACTACCCTGAGAGAGGTCGAATAACCCCCAAGGTCACACAGCCTTGAGTCCTGACAGAAACCCTGATCTTGCCAGACTCGTTTGGAGGGGAAGCCATGTGGAATTGACCAGGGTGGGGTTGGGTGATCCCTGGGAGGTCTGAACAAGGACTGAAGTACTGTACCCCATCTGCTTCCTGGAGGGAACCCAGTCCAGGGCAATGGGGGCCTTAACCGTGGGGGACAGTCCCGCAGCTGGCGGGGAGACTCTGGCTCCCACTCCAGAAAGGCCCTCTGATATTCCAGCTCAGCATTTCAGTATTTTCTTCAAATTGCTGACGCTTCCTCAAATGGACCCTTCACTTCAGCTTGGAGATGAAGTGCGTGGGTACTGGGATTGCAGGGGTCCAGCAGCCCAGCTCTCCCACCTTCAGGAAGCCCCAATGGGCAACTCAAAGCCCTCCACAGAACTGTCAAAGACCACAGGCCTAAGGCCACTCCACCCACTTTTCAGATGAGCCTGAAGCTTAGGGAAACACAGTGCCTGCCTAAGGATACCAGCCAAGCCAGGGCGAGCCCCTGGATGCTGATCTGACTCCAGAGACGGCAACGGCCACTTCTCAAGAGCCCAGCTTAGTCACTGCGGCAACTGCAAAGCACCTGGCTCCAGGCAGACACTGGGGAGAGAGGTATTACCTCCTGTGGGTGACTGAGTGCAGTCCCCCACTGGTGCACCCCCACTGGTGCATTGACAAGTGTGATACTGAGATGAGCAGGTGGCCCACTGCCCATGCTCTAAGAGGCCTTTCATCCCAGAGGCTGCGGGAGGGGGCCAGCACAGGTCCAGAACATACTGGCTTCCCCATCCTATGCTCTGGGACCACCTGCAGAATGGCCCTCAGCCCTGGGCCCTGGTCCACTGGGCCAGCCCCTGTCCCACTGTGACCAGGAGTAAAATGAGGTGAGCCCATGTGACCACCTGAGCTTGATGGTGAGTGGGTGAAGAACAGGAAAGGACCAGGCCCTCAGGAGATGGAAGCCCAAGCTGTCAGCTCCCCGACACAGAGCAGAGGGGAACTCTGAAAGCCCCCATCCACCCCCCCCAACACCCTGACGGCCCAAGGGCCTGAACGCCTCTCGGGGATCTTGGCAGAATCCAGCTCCAAAATTCATGCAAGTTCAATACTTTATTCCATAATATATCTGGGTTTGTTTTTTATATAAAAATAACAGTTTCCCTAAATTTTTGCTCCAGGAAAACATGCCGTGCTCACCATGTGGCTTTATGTACCATCGCCCTTGCCCCCCTCCTGTTGGGCCCAGAGCTGTGGCCCTAGGGCTGCCCAGCAGACAAGCCAGAGGACCAAGGGGAAGATGGCCGACCAGGGGGGCAGCAGGGTTCCCCAGGCCCAGGTGGGGTGGGGGGTTGGGGAGCCTGCCTGCGCCCTCGTGGCGGATGCTGGGGCCCTGGGTGCTGCCTTCA